ACACTCAAACCTCTCCACCACGATAAGGTGGCAGCCCAAGGAGAGGTCCAGCTTCTTTTTTCCCTGATAATTATGATGATTTTATGTTGACAGCTAAACCAAGAAAAATTTAATATAAAGATATCAAGTCAGACCAATACATTAAATCAAAATACTTAAATGTGGGCTTAATCAGAAGTTTGTTTAATGCTTACTCAGGGATTGTCTTTCAAAAGGTTCATTTAATCTAAAACATTGGGACTCCTGCAACATTTTTTTTAATTGCTGTCGTAAATTTCTCTTCCTTTTTTCTCCTGCCAACGCCCCACATAGGATTCAGTAAATGTTTTAGCATCAGTAAATGATCCTGGTAAACTTGATACACTCCACCTGTGTTGTGAAAATGTAAATCTGCATAGTTACTGTCCTGATGATGCCATATAAGGATACGTCTTCCCACGCTGTCAGATGGTGTTCATTCATAGAAATGTCACAGAAGATGGGGAAGAAAAACTTTAAAGGTACAAAGATGGAGGTTCTGCTGACTGAGAGCTGAGCAGCAGGATTAAAGGACCAGAAACAGGAAATAAATAACAGGAGCTGGAAATGACATGGCTGGACTGTTACAGGTAAAAATAAAATAAAAAGATAAAATGATATAAAAATCGAATAATTTAATCTGAAAACAGTTGATGAAAATTACTGATGGAGGCAAGAGGAGCAACTTCTGGTGTAAATATTAATATTATTTTATGATCAACCAACAGAACAACATTCTGCTAAATCTGCTTTGGATTCAAACACACCTGTGCTGTACATCTTCAGACCACATCTGTCATCCCTTCATCTACTCAGATATAAACATCAAAATGTTAACGATTAAACTCTATTGTAATCTGATTAACTCAGACCCAAACATCCATATTTAGTGTAATAGCAAAGCCAAGGAGCTGCCATGGAGGGAAATGAATGAAAGTCTGAATGTTAGAGGAGCTTTGCTGAACTTTCATCCATTTTCTGTTCCAGGTGTTATTTCAATAGTAGATTGATCTCACATAGAATCACTGACTGTTCTTTCTTTGGATTAAATTAGACTAAATTAAACCAGAGTCCGGTGGATGCCGACATGCCAGCTGCATGTTCTTTGTCTCCTGATGTAAAGGTTTTTGTCGTAGTTTATGCAGTCTGAGGTGTAGTCCCTGATGCTGTCAGTATCCTGTCTAAGAAGAGCGCCTTCCACACTGGAAGTGAAACAGTTCCTCACAGGATATTTGGTCTCCTTGGACCATCTTCTAACTGTGTGTGTGAGGAACTGCTGTGGCATACAGCGTATCAAAACCTGGTAGAGCTGAAATCAGAGGCAGGACCAGCGCAGGAGTAACAGATTCAACAGACGGGTTAGAAACAATCAGATAATTTTGGATGTGATGCATAAATGGATTTTTTATAAAGAAAAGCCCAGACCTCAGCCAGATGTTTTACAGATATACCCAGGTCATTTGAGACATAATAAAGGGCATCATTAAAACATGGAGTAATGCTGTAACCATAGCATATAATGCTGCCATCAACACGAAATTGCCCTGTTTTCCAGTGTAGTCCTGTTTCTCTTGATTGTGACTGGCTCCAAGTGCTTTCTTCATCCTCTGACATGGGAGCTGGCTCGGAGCTCGTCTGCCTGGCTGTGTGTTTCCTGGATGGGCCGCCTGTGGAGCTGGTTGACAGTTGCCTTTTCTATCTCTGCTTCTTTTTCTATGTCTGCTTCAGTCAGGGTTAGGTTAAGGTTTTGAGGACCCAAATGCACAGGTGAGGAGGCAGAGGTGAGTTTTGAACACTTAATGAAGTACTCACAGGCAACTGAGGCAGGAATCCCAAAATCCAATATAACAAATACAGAAAAAAAAAACAGAACCTTTAAGATATCAGGGAGAACATGCGTAAGGAGCCAGGAAAAGACGAGGAACCAGCACTGAGAAACTTCACAGGGAGAGTATATAAAGGAGACTGAACAAAAACAGGACTAATGTGCTGATTGGGAGCAGGTTTGAACAGAGGATTCAAGAAAGGAGCTAGGGAAAAGGAGACCAACAAAAGAGGGCAATCAAGAAATACCTAAGAAATAAAATATATCCAGAAAACACCACAAAATAGCAATTAAACCAATAAAACTAGAAAACAAAGAAAAACATGGATCAAAGTGAAACTCAAAACTCAAAACAAAACTTGGCC